TATATATATATATATATATAAAAGAACTAGCCAGTCGAAATTAATCACAGAAATGAGAAACAATTAATTATAAAAGCTAAATTAACTTTATTGGATGATCTATAATTCATCAATACAATCACCATAATCACGTGATTTTTTTATATTCATAATACAAACTAAAAGTGTTGCTCATAGTTTACATATTGCGTAAGCAGTATGCACTTATTTTGAAGGGATGGATGCATAACCAAGTGTAGTTCAAGGGCAGAATGTGATGGCATAGTCGGGCCTGTTGAAGCAAGTGAAAGTGCTGGTCTTGTCATCGTAAGCGTAGGAATAGGCATCGGGACATTGCTGCTCGAAAAACTGAGAGTAGTTGAAGGGTGGACACGTCTCAGCGGTGTTGTGAGAGCCAGTGCAGCAGTATTGATCTCCTCCAAAAGCCAAGCAAGCACTCTTGCAAGCGATAACGCTCCCATCAGAGCCTTTCATTTGGAGCTCTGCAGGGCACGCAGCGTTTATGTTCGCAGGACAGCTCGAGGTTTTGCAATCGCCACTCCCACCTTGTGGGGTCACGGCGATGGGCACGTTGAACCCGTCCACGTTGCTCACGTCGTAGAAATCTTGTCCTCCGTTTTCTGCCACCGTTATTTCCACCAAAGATGCCGGTGGAACTGCGCCTGCGCCGTTGCATGCCACTTGCCCTGAGGCACAGTCGGCGGTGGCGCAACTGAACTTTCCGTTGTTGTTGGAGCATCCCGTTCGGCCCCAGAACCTACCCGACCATGGAGATGGAAGGTCCAAGGAGTTGGATGCTCCTTGTGCCAACTCAAAACCCGTTGATGATAACTGCGGCTTTTGGTCACCGGTTAGGGTTCCTGGCCATACCGTGTATGTGCATTTGTTGGTGAAAGTAACTTTGGCTCCTTCAGACACTGCATGCATACATAATTATTTGATCAGGTTCACGGTTAGGGCGTATAACACCAATAAATTATTAACTTGAGGAATGAGTGTAATAGCTAGCAAGACACGTCTATATGATATATCAAATAAGCAAAGAAGGAAATATATATATATAAGAT